AGGAAGAAGCAATCTCGAATGATGAAGAGGACGATCAGGTCGAGGAGGTCGAGGAGGTCGAGGAGGTCGAGGAGGTCGAGGAGGTCGAGGAGGTCGAGGAGGTCGAGGAGGTCGAATTTCGGGAGGATGATGATGAGCGAGTCTTTCGTGCCTCTTGAGCTGGAGGTAGCGATCGTTCAATGCTTGGATGCCGGCATCATCCATGAGAACACTCGCGACATTCTCCTGGAGAAGAAACTTGAGGCAAGGAAAGTAGAAAAACATGTGGAAGACGAGGTTGAGGAGAGGAAGAGGAAGATTGCGAGGTAGGAGAGGAACATTTCGTTCTCACCCCTCCAGTGCTGAACGAGCTGAAGATGACATGCTGTAGTGTGTTCATTAGCGATCACGACATGAGATGCATGGGAGGGGAGGGGAGGGGAGAGGAGAGGAGAGGAGAGGAGAGGAGAGGAGAGGAGAGGAAGAGAGGAGAGGAAGAGAGGAGAAGAGAAGAGAGGAGAGGAGAGGAGAGGAGAGGAGAGGAGAGGAGAGGAGAGGAGAGGAGAGGAAGAGAGGAGAGGAGAGGAGAGGAGAGGAAGAGAGGAGAGGAGAGGAGAGGAGAAGGAGAAGGAGAGGAGAGGAGAGAGGAGAGGAGAGGAGAGGAGAGGAGAGGAGAGGAGAGGAGAGGAGAGGAGAGGAGAGGAGAGGAGAGGAGAGGAGAGGAGAGGAGAGCAGAATCGGAAGAGATCTCACAAGGAGAGAGGAGGGTAGGAGGGGCTACTGGGTAAGAGGAGAACGAGTGAGGAGGAGAGGGAGCGCAGATCGATACATCCGGACTTGATCAGAGCTGACTATGAAGGAGAATATAGCAAGAAGAACATCGCAGGTGAGGAGAGGAGGAGCATCCACAGAGCACAGCTTCTGACCACAACACGGCAGCGTTGATCGCAAACCAAGATGAGATCCTTGTGCCAGAGATCGAGGACGATGCTGGTCCTGGGGCTGCCTTGGAAGACGATAGCCTTGCTATTCATGTCGACAGGAAGCTTCTGCTGCAGGACGACGAGCAGGATGGAGCGATCTAGTTCCTCCTTGAGCTTCGTCGTCGGATCCTCTGCTCCCTCTCTCCCTCTTCGTCATCCTCGCATGCGCTGCTTGCTCACTGCTCTCCCCCCGCACTCCTCGAGCGCGGAGGCGGAGAGAGGGAGCATGGCGGCGGGGGAAGCGGTCGACCCTCACAGGGAGCAGAAGGCTTCCAAAAGAGAGAGGCAGACGCGCCAGCGAGGTAACTGAAACTGACATGCTGCTGCTGCTGCTGCTCCTCCTCCTCCTCCTCCTTCTCCTCCTCCTTCTCCTCCTGCTTCCTCCTCCTCCTCCTGCTTCCTCTTCCCCTCCCTCTCTTGCTCTTAATCTCTCTTGCTCTTGCTCTGTCCTGCCTGCGCTGCTTCTGCGCTCTTTTACCACTTTCCCTTCCCTCCTCCCCCCTCCTCCCTCCTCCTCGGCCATCTGCTCTCGACCTTCTCCTGCTTCTGCACTCTCCTCCACTTTCTTCTGCTGCTGGAGGCGCTTCTGACGCCTGACCCCTCCCAGCTCAACTCAAGCAGATGCTGCCTGACGCTGCTGCGAGGCAAGAATTTGTGATAGCAACTTCATTCAAAGAGAGGTCAGCGCAGTCTACCTCACTGGAACATGATTCACTCAGCGTTGCTTGCAGATCTCAGAAGCTCGTCGACGGCACAACATGCTGCGGGTGCTGGTTGCCCAGTGACTTTTGTGTTTGCTGTGAGTAAGATGTTTTCTGCTGATTGTTTGCTCTTCTGATCATTCACAAAGTCTCAGTGTCAGAAGATGTAAGAAGTCGTTTTTCTCACCGTGTCGTCCTCTACACTCACTGGAAGGAGTACACAAGATCGACGAATACAGGAGCTCTTGTCCTGGTTTGAATTTCAGCTCCACTAGCCTCATGTTGTTTCCTCGAGATTGCTTCTTCCAAAGTTCATTCTTCTTTCTTTTCAATGCTCCTTCCAAACATTTGTTCTTACTCCTGCTGCTTGCTTGTTTTGTCCCCCCAAAATTCCTCTTCTTCCTCGATTTTCCTTCTTACACTTTGCCCAGGGGACTCTGGGGAAGGAACGCGCCGAGTTGATAGTGGCAGATGTCAAGGAGCATGAGGTAAGGAAGAGAGAGGAAGGGGAGAGGTAATGTTGGTAGGAACAAGCAGGGGCGAGGAGGGAAAAGGGAGGGAGGAGGGAGGAGGGAGGAGGGAGGAGGGAGGAGGGAGGAGGGAGGAGGGAGGAGGAAGATGATCAAAAGCAGATACTGACTGAAAAGAGGAAAACGTTTGGATTCACATCTTCTCTCT